AGCCAGAAGCCCAACGACACGGCTCTGCAAGAGAAAAACAACCCGAATAAGCCAATAATTGTGCAAAGGACTCGCTGCGACCTTAACCGCCCTCCGGCCTCACGCGTCTTTCTTTTTCCCTCTCTCCTCTCCTCTGCTTCTCCAAACATCTGCCTTGCTCCTTGGTGAGTGAAATGAAATCACACGCCATGAGTTAAAGTCACCCGTGTTCATTTTGATACCGCGCCGGTGTTAGTCATTATCGTACCTGGGTTTGGTGGGGTTTTAAAAAATTCTCTTTTGTAGCTGTATTTCATTGTCATGGGTTTCCTTTTGTAATCCAATAGATATAAGTCTGTGCTTTGAGAAGGGTGGGTGTTAAGGGTTAAGGGTTAAGGATTCCGGGCTAAGAGCCTGGGAGCAGGTAGGTGGGGGTAACGTGGGGAGGAAGCTGGGGAGACTCTCTGAGAAGGTGACACGCCAGCAGGGGCCTGAGGAAGGTGAGAGGGACTGCTGAGAGAAGGTGGGGGATGTCTGTGGTGGGGCCTAAAGACTCTTGGTTTTATTTAACTTATTTTCATTACCCTTTTTTATTTTTTGGAAACAGAATCTGCCTCTGTCGCCTGGGCTAGAGTGCAGTGGCGTCATCGTATACTAGCTCATTGCAACCTCAAACTCCTGGGCTCAAGTGATCCTCCTGCCTCAGCCTCCCAAATAGCTGGGACTAGAGGTGTGCGCCACCAGGCCTGGCTAATTTTTCTAGTTTTTGTAGAAACGAGATCTTGCTCTTGCTCAGGATGATCTCGAACTCCTGGCCTCAAACAATCCTCCCGTCTCTGCCTCTGAGAGTGCTAGGATTCCAGGCTTGAACCACCGGCCCCGCCCAATTAGCATTTTTGGTTGCTAAAAATCCAAGCAACCCAAAAGGATGTAGGGCGAAAAGGTGCATGTCTCTCCCACCTCTGGAGGGAGTTCCTCAGTCCTCTTCCCCAGAAACAGCCCCTGTTGGCAGCGTTTGTACTTGTGACTAGCATGTGTACACATCTAGACTCTGGTCTACACACAAAAGTCAGACTGTTCCAGATTCAAATCCAGGCTCGACCCTTTCCTGGCTGTGACCTAGAGCAAGTGATTTTACTTCCTTGGACCTCAGTTTCCTCAGCTGTATAATGGGAACGATGCTCAAATTTCCTGTCTTATGGTATAGTGAGGATTTCATGAGTCCATTCATAGAAAGCACTTGGAATGGTGCCTACTATATAGGAAGTACTCCATAAAATTTACCTATCCTTAGCCAACGCATTCTTTTTTTTATAGCTGCATGGTATTTCACTATAATAGACCATAAAATAGATAAGTCCCCAGGGATGAACATGTAGGTTCATTTATCCACTCGAAAATATGCATTGAGCACAGACCGTGTGCCAAGCACCACGCTGGGGACTGGTGCTATAAGGCCCTGGTACCAAGATCTCCACCCACGCGGATGGGCATATAGGTAGGAATTGCTGGTACCAACAGCCGCCGGAATTTAAAATGGTAATATGCAGTTCCAATGGCTCTCAAAAGGTCTACTCCGTTAGCACACCCAACTCCGGGGCTTGGTGGAACCCACACATTTAGGATGGCAGGTTTGGGAACCGCTGCCTTTTGGGAAAGGCGCTGACGTGGGCCCCAGCGACTGCGCTAGGCAGCGGTGGCCCCAGCTAGGCCCGGGGCGCGGCCACACCCCTGTGGGGGAGGGGAGGGAGGCCGCCCGAAGGGAGTGGACAGCCCCCGTGTCAGTCTTCCCGAGTCCGGAGTGTAAGATGAGACGGGGAAGGTGGGCCTCACCCCGGGGAGGGCGAGGAGGAACTTCCTGCCCGTGCGCTGCAGCGCAGAGGGCGCGCGGGCTGGCGGGCGGGAGGCGCGGCCAGGTCGGCCTGGAGCTGGGTGGCGGCCTGCCTGGGGGCGGGAGACCCTACGGGAGGGCTGGGCTGAGGCCTCCCGGCGCCTCGGCCATATTGAATAGCCACGGCCGAGCCCTCTTTGTCTGCGAAGTCCTCTCCGAAGATCCAGCCGCGTCCCTGGTGCCTGGGGCAGGAAGAGCCGCGGGCAGTCCGTGCGCCCCAACTTGGAGTTGGGACACCACGTTTCCAGCTTGGAGTGGGCTTTGAGCCTGGGGACTGACCTCACCCCGGCTCACGTAAACATCCCAGGAATTGAATCCCACAAGTCCTTGGGGGGACCCGGACTTGGTCAAGATTGGACTTGTTGCAGGCGGAGAAGTTGGGAGGAGTTGGCTCATTCCTGGCTGGAGAGGTGAGACTCTCCGGTCATCCATTGCTGGGACACCCCTTCCTCACCCCCGGCCCTGCACCTCCTCCCCCTGCAAGACTAAGGGCTACCGGTTCGTTTGGGCTCATTGCCTCTCACCCCAGATACCACCCTGGAGATCTTAAAGACTCTGGAGAAAAGCCATGTGGGGGGCTGGTTCCCCTGGGGCTTCCTCCCGTCCCCCGACTGCCTGATCCTTTGGAGCGTCCCTGATGTCTGCAAAGATGTGGATTTGGACGTCCTCGTGGAAGCCTTAAAGCCGGTGGGGACCTTTAAGAAGATCGGCAAGGTGTTCCGCAAGGAGGAGGACTCCACGGTGGGAATGCTGCAGATCGGCGAGGATGTCGACTATTTGCTCATCCCCCGCGAGGTCAGGCTGGCCGGGGGCGTCTGGAGGGTCATCTCCAAGCCTGCCACCAAAGAAGCAGAATTTCGGGAGCGGCTGATCCAATTTCTGGAAGAAGAGGGCCGCACCCTGGAGGACGTGGCCCGCATCATCGAGAAGAGCACCCCCCACCCGCCCCAGCCCCCCAAAAAGCCCAAGGAGCCCCGAGTGAGGAGGAGAGTCCAGCAGATGGTGACTCCTCCACCCCGCCTGGTCGTGGGCACGTACGACAGCAGCAACGCTAGCGACAGCGAGTTCAGCGACTTCGAGACCTCCAGAGCCAAGGGCAACAAAGGCTCGAGGCCGGGCAAGAAGGTGCGCAAAATGCCCGTCAGTTACTTGGGCAGCAAATTCCTCGGAAGCGACCTGGAGAGCGAGGATGATGAGGAACTGGTCGAGGCCTTCCTCCGGCGAGGGGAGAAGAAGCCCAGCGCGCCTCCTGCGCGCCGCCGCGTCAACCTGCCGGTGCCGATGTTTGAGGACAACCTGGGGCCCCGGATGTCCAAGGCAGACAGGTGGCGAGAGTATGTCAGCCAGGTGTCCTGGGGGAAGCTGAAGCGGAGGGTGAAGGGTTGGGCCCCGAGATCTGGCCCGGGGACGGGCGAGGCCCAGCAGGCCTCGACCGCAGTGGAGAGAAATGGGGCGTCGCTGCCGGCCAGCACCAGCCGCGGGGATAACGTGGGGAACGCGGCAGATGGGCGCGTGCCCGAGACCGCCCCTCGAGCGTGGAGACCCAAGATCAACTGGGCTTCCTTGCGGCGCCGTAGGGAGGAGGAGGCAGCAGCCGCGGTGCGGGTGCCGGGAGCAGACATCCCGGCAGACCCGGGGGCGGAGGCGGCAGATAACCAGAGGGCAGAGGCTGTAGGTGACCAGAGGGAAGAGGCCCCAGCTGTCCAGGGAGCAGAGGCTGCGGATGATCGGAGGGAAGAGGCGGTAGCTGACCAGGCTGACCAGGGAGCAGAGGCCCTGAATGCCCAAAGGGCAGAGTCTGCACATAATCAGGGGGCGGGGGCCCTGGGTACCCAGGAAGTTGAAGCTTCAGCTGCCCAGGGGGCCACAGGGGCAGCCCCAGGAGCCAGGGCCCGGAAACAGGTCAAGACAGTGAGGTTCCAGACCCCTGGACGCTTTTCATGGTTTCGCAAGCACCGGAGAGCCTTCTGGCACACTCCCCGGTTGCCAACGCTGCCCAAGAGAGTCCCCAGGGCAGGCGAGGCCAGGAGCCTCCGGGTGCTTAGGGCGGAGGCCAGAGCCGAAGTGGAGCAGGGAGAGCAGGGAGAGGGGGAAGACCAGCTGTGAGGTGAGGGCCTGGTCCACAGAGCGACACCCCACTGTCCCCTGCTTGGAAGATGGTGCTCTCTGCTTCCCTGCTTGAAAATGGGGGCTGAGAAAGGGGCAGGGAGTGCCTCCTACATGGCCACCTAACAACCCTCTTTTCTTGTGAAAGTTTTCTCTCTCATGCATTGATTTTTTAAAAAAAATACTGATTCCTTGTAGCAACCCCAAAAATGTAAATAAAGAAATCGATGCAATGGGGTTGCATCGCCTATGACTTTAACTTCCTCGAATGCAACTCTAGGTGCTCGGCTTGAAAGAGGGCGAGAGGCAGAGCAGGGGAGAAATTCCTTTTCCTGTCTCCCTTTTGCCTGTGCTCTTAACCTTGACTGCCTCCTTGAACTTAAAACGAGGGCTCAAGCCAACATGCAAATACAATGTATACAAATTGATTTCTTGGCTTTGAACTTGGCAACTGACAATGCTCTAGGGTAACTTGGCCGTTGCTGTCGGTGATGGGGACCCGTGTGTTTATGTTGTCACTTTGCTTGCTTGCCGTCGCCTTGCGCTCGGCTCTGCTGGTTTGGAGGGTATAGGGCCCACGGTTTGCACACTTCACCCTGGTCTTGGTTGCAAGGTACAGAAAAATTGTCTGGGAAACGCATTCAAACTCAGACTCTGAGGCCCTCGGCACCAGAGATGTGGCTTTCCTAGAGCTGTCTGCATGTCCCTGGAACCTGTTTGGATTGAGCCCCACAAACATCTGGGCAGCTTGGCCACTGGACACGGAAAATCATTGCGACAGGAGCAGACCCCAAAGGGAGGTTGTGCCGTAGTGTACCATAATTGCTTGTAACTGGGAGAAATGGGGTTGCTAAGGCCTTGTGGAGGCTAGGAGGAAGCTGGGGGTGTCTGTCTGTATGGCCTTGTGCCCCCCCCTCCACCCCGAGCAGTGAAAAACAGACAGCAAGAGAGCACTCCCCAGCCTCGCTGAGGGCGGGAGAAAAGGGACTTCATGGAGGTGAGTGGTCCAAAGGCCAGTTCTGTCTTCCTGTCTGGCTGCATGCCTGGCCTGAGTTTCTTCGTTTTTTCCCCTTGGAACTGAAGAATTCTACCCTGCCACCCCTCTTTCTTTTTCGCCTTCCCTGTTCTTTTCTGCATGGAGTGGCTACTGATCGCCCTGTGGCCTTGCTCTTGGTGGTGGACACTGGGCTCTTCAGTTCGTGGCTCACAGCCTGGCAGGAAGAGGCCCCAGTGGGGTTTGGAAGAAGGACTGGGTGTGGATCCCACCTGGGGCAGGTGGGATCGGGTGGACTTGGCAGGTGTCGGGAGGAAGAGCCAGGCTGGCTGGGGAGGTTTCGGAGCGACTGAGGCATGCTTTCCATACGAAGCTGGTGGTGATGGTGGGGGCTGTCCTTTGCTGCTGCCCACATTGGACGGCAGAGGACTCATGACCTCGGGGGACCAGGCCTGCTTGGGGAGCTGGAAAGTGAAAGGGAACAGCAAAGACAAAGACCCCTGGAGAAACTCCAAGACAGGGACAAAATCGGGGGCCGGGAGGGGCAGACAGCTTGTGTGTAATAAACTCTTACCTGCAGCCTGACAGTGTGTCTCTGCTCTTCCTTCCTGCAGGGCCCAGAGTTCAGGGGGTCTTGGGGGGAACATTGGGGCCTGTGGGAGGGAAAGGGGTGTGGACACCGAACAAGAGGCGAGACGGATATCACAGGGAGCTGTGTGGATTTCAGACATCAGCCACCCTTGGCAAAGCTGGGTCACACCCGCTCACTGCTACGCCTGTGTGTGCACACACAGCCCTGGACCCAGATGTGCAGACACAGCGCACACCACAAACACACACGATGTCTAACACCCACGGACACACACACACACACACACACACACACGCATGCCCCAAACACAGGCCCGACTGGCAGACCCACACTCACAGACATGTACACACAGATACACAGACGCACGCACGCAGTGCCCACACATGTGCTTATAGACACACAGACCCTGTGCTCCTACATACACACAAAGCCCCCTACCCACATTCACGGACTCACACATACACGGCCATACTTACAAATTCCAGCATTAATCCCCACTCACGGGACATGTGCACACGCTGCTGGACACTGTCACATACGTCCTTGTGCTCAGCCACATGTGCGCACACATCCGATCACATAGAACCTCGAGAGCCAGTCACAGACACACAAGTACTTGCAGAAACACACTTTTTCACACCCTCCCCTTGGGGCTTATTGTTATAAGCCTCTGAGTAGCCGGGAGGCTTTGGGCAAATGCGTCCCCACTGAGTCTCAGTCTGTCCCTCCCTCCAGTGGACACGACCTTCTCTGCAGTCCTGTCCCCAGCGTCTGCACTGTGAGCATCCAGAGAGGCCCCAGGAGGGGAGGAGCAGCGGGTAACCCGAGATGAGATGGTAACGCGCCCCGTTCACGCCCCCGCGGTTGTGGTTTCAAATGCACCAAATTCTCCAAGGAGGAAGCCCGGAAACCCAGAGATTTGACTCCAAATCAGCCTTTTATCTGGACCAGGCAGCCCTCATTGTCACCAAAGAGAAAATGACAGAACACACACACAGAGGGGAGAGATGCCACCCCAAGACAGGGGGACTTTCTGGGTCTCCTCCCAGGCCCACAGTGTGTACAGGAGAGGAGGACACAGTTGGGGACTGGGTAAGGAGGGGCTTGGAGTCCAGCTGCCTGGCTTCCCCCAGCACCGCCCCTTGCAAGCTGTGTGACCTTGGGCTGGCTACTTAACCTCTCGGTGCCTCCGCTTGCTCATCTGGAGGAGGATCATGGCAGAGCTTTCCTCCCAGCATGGCTCAGGGAACTGAAGAGGATGTGATGTGCTCCAGCTCAAACCAGCCCCAACTGACGTCACCTTCTCTTATTCCTGCCTTATGTCAGCCGGGCCAGTTGTTCACAACACACGTCAGCCCTGATGGGACCCTAGGGCAGCGGTTCCCAGTCCTGGCCACCCCTGGAATGACCTGGAGCCCGTGCCCAGAACGCACACACAACGGTGCAGGGGACGGCTGGCGCATCCATAGTTCCTAAAGCTTTTGGGTGATTCCAAGGTGCAGCCGGGGCTGACAACCGCGACCCTAGGGGTCTTATAGACATAATCAGACCCCACAGCAGTGGCTCTCAAACTAGTCGCTTGTCACCACCACCTGGAGGGCCTTGGAAAACACAGATTGCTGGGCCCCACCCCCAGCGTGGTTATGCAGGTCTGGGGTGGGGGGGGCGGGATTATGTATCAAGTTCCCAGGAGACGTTGGTGCAGCCGGTCTCAGGCCCTTACTTTGAGAACCGCTGCCCTGCGGGAAAGTCCGCTTTCCGCAGCCTGGCGATTGACGCTTTTAAGGCACGGGGCCGGTGTCCAGAGCACGCCAAGGCCTAGGGCGCCTCCTGGTGGTTATATGGGGCTCTGCAGCTCTTGTCCGCAGCCCTGGATACGGGAGAACGAGGCACCCTATGCAAGGGGCGGGGCCTGCACTGGGGAAGGCGGAGCCTTGGTGGACACAAGGCCTTGGGAACCCGATGGGGGCGGGAATGTGTCATTTTATGTCCCTGGGACCCTGACTTCTCCCTCCTTCCAGCTTCTCATCACATCTCGAGGAGTCTCCGGGCGCCCTGTCCCGGTCTAAGCAGGCCGTGGGGCCAGGACGAGTTCGGCGTTGAGGTTCCGGGCCAGGGCACGCTCTGTCACTGTCCACATGCCTCGTCCCCAGCGACCTCTGCACGCCCACTTCAAGGCGTCCTCACTTTTAAACTCCAGTCATGTGGAAATCCAACTAGACAGCGCCACTTGGAGGCAGGTGGCCTGTTTTGGAGACACTGTGTCCCCTAGGCCCAGCACTGAGCCCGGCACGAGGGGGCCGGCGATCGCACGTTAATACGCCCCCATTATCACAGCCCTGGCTCTTCCCACCTCCTGTCCTGCGCGTCCCTCCCGCCTCCTTCCGCCGCACCCCCTGGCCTCCTCAGGTGTCGCTCACGTGTCCCCGTCTCAGTGAGGGCTTCCCAGACCACCCTGCTGACAACCACTGCAAACCCTCTCCCACCCTGGCTTCCCTCGGGCCCCTGCCCTGCCGGACTTTTCTCCCCCCACCGGTCCTCACTGCTTAACGCGCGGATCGTGTCCTCACGTGTTTGTCCCCTGCCCGCCCCGCCGCAGGGACGCTCCGGAGGGTCCTGTTTCCCGCGCCTAGAATGGGGCCTGGAGCTCGCGGGCCCCGGATGAATCTCCCGATGGCGCGGACGGCACTCGGGCCTCTTCCCGGCCAGTGTTTCTCTCCCACGAGGGGGCGGCCGCTGCGTCCTCCATCCCGGCGCCCACGGCCGATCCAGGCCCCGCGCGGGGACCACGCTGCCCCCGGCGGCCATGCTCGTCTCCTCTGCGCGCCTGGCGCTTCCCTGAGGGACCTCAGGGCCTTCACGTAGCTGCCCCTGCGACCTCAAACGCTCCTCCCCGCGCCCCCTCGGCCCACTCCCTCCAGGGGGCGTATCTTTCCAGCACATTCTTCGCCGGGCGCACCTGGGGTCTGGCTCGCCCAGTCCGCCTGGTTCACTCCGTCCGTTAGTCATTCAACAGACGTCAACTGAGCAGCCATCGCATGCCAGGCTCGGCGCTGGGGCTGGGAACAAGACAGGCCACACTCCGTCCCCAGGGAGCTGCATCTGAGCGGCTCTGCTGCCTCTCCCCTCCACGCCCACCTGTCCCCTCCCGGGTAGGACCCCCCAGCCACCTCCCCAGAGTCCTAACCCAGGGGCCGCTGCTGCTGCGGCCGATGGGGCACAGGCGGGAGGTGGAAAGCGCGGGGCAGGAGACGCTATCCGGGGAGTAGCAGCAGCGACAGCCACCGCAGTGAACCAGGGGCTCCTGGGTCCCGCAGGCAGCTGTCCCCAACCTTTTTGGCACCAGGGACCCTTTTCTTGGAAGACAATTTTTCCACGGACCGTCGAGGGGGGATGGTTTCAGGATGATTCAAGTGCATTACATTTATTGTGCACTTTATTTCTATTATTATTACGTCGTAATATATAATGAAATAAGTATACGACCAGGTGGGGAGCTAGGGGTGGAGGCTGGGGAGGAGGCAGATGGAGCTGCGGCCTGCCAGAGTGTATCTGGGTGGGAGCAGAGCAGCGGCCGGCTGGGGTTAGAGCCACAGGGGAACCAGGAGGGCTCAGGGGCTCCATAGGTGTCTAACTAAGGGCTGCAGAGCCCAAGCTGGGGCCCAGCATGGGGGCGAGGGCTGGGCAGGGGGCACAGTCACCGGAGAAGCAAAGGTCGCTGGGTGTAGATCAGCGACAGGGCAGTTCTGGGGTGTTCTGGGCGAATGTCAGTCATGAGGATGGGGCATCTATTTACTGTTCAACCTCCGACACGCCCCGTGCCCTTAGGCCCAGAGGCAGAGAGAACAGGTCACAGTGCTTAGTTCAGCTTTCCTGGAGGATGCAGGGGGCACAGTACACAGAGAGAAGCCTATACCTGCTCTGGGGAGAAGTCAGAATCGGGACCTCCCCACCCACAGGCATGGCCAGAGGCTGCTGGCTCGGCCAGGCACCCACATCCATCAGCCCCCAGGGAGCAGGGGGTTTCTTCCCCCAGCCCCAGGGATACCTCTCCTGCTCCTCCTTGGGCTGCTCACTGTCCAGGGAGTCCCCTGCAGCCAGGAGGGGGGCAGCTTCTGAGCACGGAGAAGCGTCCGCAGCCAGCTTCCGCACCTGGGTGTCCCTGGCGTGGGACGCAGACAGTCCAGTCTGGGCTGTGAGGACCTGCCCGGGCCCCCTGGGCCTTCCAAGAAACAAGTAGGGCAGGGTGCTCCTAGCACGATGGGTTCCTCACGTCCTGGGGATAGAAATTTGGACAAGGAAACACAACACACTGCCCCAGGGACCAGAAGGTGTGGGTCGGGTGTCTGGGGAGACCACTATTTAGGGACAACACCAAGCTTGGCAGGGAGGGCGGAAGCACAGGGCATAGCATGGACACACACACATACACACTCTACTGAAGCGTCTGCACTTGGGACGGCAGGTGCCCAGGCCCCGCAGCGCCAGCCCAGCTGACTCCAGGAAAAGCCAGGGCAGGGCAGCAGTTTCCTAACTTGGGGACATTTCCTCCTCTATAAGGACAGACCCACTGACCAGTTCTGGCCCTGAGAGCCTCTGCCCCTCACATGTGGGCAGAGGTCAGGGGTCCCTCTGGCCATTAATTCACTAAGAGAGTGGACCCAGGACACCCCACTGTCTTAAGTCGGGGGCTGCAAGGCCAGACCTGAGTGGCGGGTCAGCCCCATGGGAGAGTGGGGACCCAGGGGTCCACAGCCCACTCTGCCCAGAGAAGCCAGAAATCTGGATTTTATGTCAATTACTCCAAATCGAGCATAAATAAACGGAAAATAATTAGAATTTTTGGTAAACTGCAGTCCGAGGGACAATTTCAGCCTGTGGATGGGGGCAGGTGGCCGGGGCCCTGGGCTGGTCATTTGTATCAGCCGGGTCTGCAGCAGGCATGGCTGAGGTGTCTTCCCTTTCCTCCCCCTCCCCGCCAAGTTGCTGCTGCGCCATCAGACACCTCCCCCTCCAGTCTCCCGCTGCCTCTCTTCCTCTTCCTCCTCTCAGTCCCCATCTGCCTCGCAGGCTTTCCTTTCTGGAATCATCTCCTCTCCTCATCAGCGAGCTTCTGCCTTCAGCGCTCAGCTCCACCCCGACACCACTGGGCGACTGGGTGGGCCGGCCTCCCTCACAGACCCCAGGCCCAATCAGTCGGGGTGGGGGACAGCAGCGGCCTTCTGCGCTGGCCAGGAGCAGGTGTCTGGAAGGGTCGGGCCCCTTGAGAGTCACAAAGAGCTCACCCACCCTGCTCGCCTCCCCCGGTGCCGGGTGTGCACCTGATCACTCGCCGGGGCCCGACCCGGGCCCCCACAGCCACCCGCACTCGGGGTACCCCCGACCAGCGTCTCAGCCCCCGCGGCTGCTGCCTCCCTGGGCCCGTTTCTCTTTTCCTTCCCCCATCAGGGCTTGTTCCGTCAGGATCGCTCGCGCCAGCGGCACAGGCACAGCCGGGCACCTGCGTTCGGCGGGGAGGTGGCTTCTGCTGGAGCGGGGAGGGGACAGGGGGAGGGCGGGGCTCCTGTGGGCGCCCGGCGCGGCCGCTCCCAGGCGGGACGTCCTCTTTCCGAGCCACTAGCGGCATCGGGGGGGCAGCTTCTGGCCGCGACGAGCCTTCCTCCCGCGCGTGGACTTGGAGCCGGCGGGCGGCTGGCCCTTG